CACCTCTCTTCCTCTCATTCCCCACAACCAAACACAAGCGCATCTTATCTCACATAAATTCTGTCTCACTCTTTCAACATTAATTCAACGAAGATTTGAGTTCCTGCTCTGTGCCAGGTGTGAATCCACGTTACGTGGTAGTTTCCTTCTTTCTAGATTTACTATTCCAAATCGGAATCTCAACATGTTATACTTTGCCTAATGAAGTAGCCTCATTACTCACCCTCCCCAACTTCATATTCTTTTTTTACTCCACTGCCAGATTAATTTTCTAAAACATGGGTTGATCATGCCACTTCCTATTTCCTGGAATCAGACTCACCTTCCTGTTCTCCATACATCCCCTATGACTTTGACTTGAATTGGTACAAGTGATCTGCCAGACTGGATTACCCTTTTGAAAGGCTGGTCTCAGCTGGATTCCTCTTCCTTTCTGTGTTGTCTTCTTTTTATGGTCTCTCCAGCAGAGTAGTTAAACTTCTTACATGGGCTTACTTCTTATGCAGGGCTTCAAGAGACCAAGGTAAATGCTGCCAACCTTCTTAGAATGTAGACCCAGAAAATAGTATTTTGTCTGTAGTCCACTTGGTAAAGGCAGTCACAGGCTAGCTGAGGTTTGGGGTGGGGGTAGGGGAGAAGAATGGATCCCACCTATCAAGGGGGAAAAAGGTCAGAGAATTTACAGACCTTTTTAGTCTGCAGTGCCGCTCTTTGTACTTTCCATTGTTTTGAGATTAATTTTATATTTATTTCTTGTACTGCATGCTTTTAGTGAATTTCTAAGAGAGGGAGAGAGCAGGAAGGCCTTTTCTTTGCCATCTGTAGAAGTCTGAGTAGTTTTTAAGACATCTGAAGATGATTGGGGTGGTAGTGACGAGAATAAGTGGTAACTAGTTAGACAAGACTGGATGTTTTCCTCATCTTCTACTGTTCCTACCTAGTGTATATGTAATAAGCTCTAAGAAAATTGTCCTCAAATTCTCTCATGTCATATTTTATATGTGTGTCTTTTTAGGCAGTAAGACTTTTTGAGGATTTTGGTTTACTGTGTTGAGAGTAAATCGAGGAAAATGTAAATATCTGTTCAAATAAAAGAAGATTCATTAGTTGATTAAAAACAATTTATGTAAAGAAACTTCTTTTTCATAACCATATCGTTTAATTGTGTGAAACCAGCTCTTTGTCATGGATCATAATAAAGAATCCTGCTAGTACATGCCTTTTTTTTTTTTTCAAGATTTATTTATTCATGTAAGAACTGAGGTGTAGGCCAGAGGTGGGGGTGTGTGAGAGGATACATCAGAGACAGAGTGGGGAACAGAACAGGTGGATTGACTGAAATACACTGCTGAGGGGAGCAGCCGGCCAGACAGGAGAGGTCCACTGTACCATGTGGGTCAGCTCTGGCAGGGATTTAACTCGTGCTGCAGTGGCTGGCAGTAGCTTGATAGCACTGTGTCTTTAACCCCTGTGCCACCAGGGTGGCCCTAGTACATACCTTTAGAGTTAGCAGCAGCTATCTGCCTCGGCTCTTCCATTTCTTTAACACATTTTGTGCTGTTGCTGCTCGTTATATGTGCCGCTGGGCACCAGCAGAAGGCATGCAGCCCAAATGAGGGGTGAGGTGGAGAAAAGATGAGCCAGAATCAGGCCAGCAAGAAAGGGCAACAGATGGGTTGTGGGAGATGACCCTACCCCCATGTTGTTTTGTTCTGGTTGCTACTGATCATAAGCAAATTAGCAGCCAGGAAATTGGAGTTGATGATCCTCTGATGAAAAAGAAAGCTTGATCTTGGGCTAATTTTAGAATTAAAAATTTATAACACTGAACATGACACAGATTGTTTCCTTTGGTTACTTTTATTTATTTATTTATTTAAGCACTGGGTACAGTCAGAAGTGCAGGAGGATGAGAGAATTCACCAGAGCCAGAGCGGGGAGCAGAGCAGGCGGAAGGACCGAGGTACACTGCTGAGGGGAGCAGCGGGTTGGCAGGAGAGGTCTGCGCGCCATGTGGGACCCTCCTCTGGTGGCTGGGGAGCAGCCTGGGATTGAACCGGCAGCTCTGGTGGCTGGGGAGCAGCCTGGGATTGAACTGGCAGCTTCACAATCCAGTGCTGAACTGCTGCGCCACCGGGGAGGCCCTCCTTTGGTTACTTTCCTTTGAGATATTACATAAAGTATTTTATTTGGGATATAACTTTAATTTTCTAAATACTAATAGATGTAATCTGAGATAAATGTTACTCTTAGGTTTTAGTTTTCATGCAAGTTTTATAGTAAGTAAAATTTCCTAGGACTTGGTAGTAGATACTAATCAATGATGACTATACCTCAACATTTTTGGATTTTTTTTTTTTAAGTTTTATTTATGCATACAAGATCTGGAGTACAGGCCAGAGGTGCGGGGGAATGATGAGAGGACTTGCCAGAGACAGAGTGGGGAACAGAACAGGCAGATCTACTGAAATACACTGCTGAGGGAAGCAGTGGGTGAGACAGGAGAGGTCTGCTGTGCCATGTGGGTCAGCTCTGGCCAGAGATTGAACTCATGCAGCAGAGGCTGCGGATAGCTCACAGTGCTGCGCTTAACCCCTTGTGCCACCAGGGAGGCCCACTTTAGCCTCCTTTTTTTTTTTTTTTTAAAGATTTATTTATTTATTTATACAAGCACTGGGTACAGTCAGAAGCACGGGAGGGTGAGAGAATTCACCAGAGCCAGAGCAGGGAGCAGAGCAGGCAGAAGGACCAAAGTACACTGCTGAGGGGAGCAGCGGGCGGCAGGAGAGGTCTGCGCGCCATGTGGGACCCTCCTCCAGTGGCCGGGGAGCAGCTGGGGATTGAACCGGCGCTGCAGAGGCTGCGGGCAGCTTCACAACTCAGGGCTCAACCACTGCAACACCGGGGAGGCCCCCACTTTATCCTCGTAAGTGTTCTTATTTGGATGTTTTCCAATGTATTTTTTTTTTAAGATTTATTTTTATTTATCTTTGCATACAAGAACTGGGGCATAGGCCAGAGGTTTGGGAGTGGGGGTGTGTGAGAGAGGATTCACCAGATACAGAGTGGGGAGCAGATCAGGTGGATCTACTGAAATACACTGCTGAGGGGAGCAGCAGGCAAGGCAGGAGAAGTCTGCTGTGCCATGTGGGTCACCTCCCTGGCCAGGGATCGAACTCACGCAACGGTGGCTGGTGATAGCTTGATAGAGCTGAGACTTTAACCCCTGTACCCCCAAGGAGGCCCCCTCCAGTCTTTTTTTAATGAGATATATCAACCAGATCTACAGTGAAATTTCAGCATGTAATAGTCTTACATGAAAGTGTAGGTGTGGTCTTTTAAGTTTTTAATACTTTTCTTTATTTTGTGGCTTTGCAACATTTTGTTGCTTCTTCATCTGAAGCAAGTTAAAGTTCTCACTAAGTTTGCAGGGAACTCCTAGGCCCCCTTTTTAGATCAAGAATATCACCGTCTTTACAAAAGAAATATGAGCATGCATTTTTATATTTTACTTAAACTTAACTTGAAACATTTTCTACATTTAAATGCCTTATAAAAGTTATTCTTAATAATGGCATGTAGGGGCCTCCCTGGTGGTGCAAGGGGTTAAGCACTGCACTATGAAGCATTCGCAGCCTCTGCAGCACGAGTTCAATCCCCAGCTGGCCAGGGAGCAACCCACATGATGTAGCAGACCTCTCCTGTCATGCCCGCTGCTCCCCTCAGCAGTGTACTTCAGTCAATCTGCCTGTTCTGTTCTTCACTCTGTCTCGGGTGAATCCTCTCACTCCCCCACATCTCTGACCTGTACCCCAGCTCTTATATACATAAATAAATAAATCTTTAAAAAAATGGCATATAATTCAGTGAGTGTGAATATATTTTTAATTCATTTTACCATTAGTTCCTATGTTGTTGAAAAGTCTTTGAGGTTATATATTTTCTTTGTCATACTTAAAGAGCTTGTTCTGAATGTTGCCAGGTGTTTTGTTTTTAGTGTCCTATTCCTGGTATTGAATTAAATATTGATGTAGATTCAAATTTTGGGGCTAATATTAATCATCAGACAGATATCTCTATATTATGGAATGTAATATTTGGGAATTAATTTCCAGAAGTTATTTTCTTCTCCAGATTATGTTGGTACAATGATACTTTTATATCTTGTAGATGCTCATTAAGTGTTGTTTCTCTTTTTTAAATTTATTTTTAATTGTGCTAATATTTGGATACCCCCATCAAATAGTGCCACCATAGTGTATCCACTACCAAATCACGCATAGGCCACCACCATCATCCATTTTATTTCCTTCCCTCTTTTTTCAAATTTTTAAAAATTCTTTTATAGATTATTTATGCATACCAGAATGTGGGTACAGGCCAGAGGTGTGGGGGGTAAGAGGATTCACCAAAGACAGAGCGGGGAACAGAACAGGCAGACTGACTGAAATACACTGCTGAGGGGAAGCAGCGGAAGAGACAGGAGAGGTCTGCTGTGCCATGTGGGTTGCTCCCTGGCCGGGGATCAAACTTATGCTGCAGAGGCTGTGGTTAGCTTCATAGTTTGTGTAAGGTCTTAACCCCTTGCCCCACCAGGGAGGCCCTTCCTTCCCTCTTTAAGTGTTATTTCTCAAGATACTTCCCCCTAGGTGGAAGGTAACATCTCAGCTGTGTCTCCTTGACCAGCATTTCCTTTATACATTCTTGTGCATGTGTGCTGGTTTTATTTCAGTTAATGTTGTCGCCTTAAGTAATGTAGTTGAAGGCAGTATCCGACTTGAAATCTCATGTATTTCAACTATCATGAAATCTTATGATACTTGGTGAGTATCATAAATAGTAACTTAATAATGATGCTCTCTTACTTTACAAAAGGTTTAAAAAATAAGAGTAACAACCAGAAATATAATTTATAATACTAGTATTCTACATATATATACTCAGTGGAACAGTCTTTTCAGAGTGACATCTACCATCTTTGTTTCTCCTTTCATTTCCAGGTTGCCATCACGAAAGCCAAAGTGGATTTCTCCAGTGTAGTGTGCCTGCCCCCTTCCGTCATTGCTGTGAATGGGCTGGACGGAGGAGGGGCTGGCGAAAATGATGATGAACCAGTGTTGGTGTCCCTGTCTGCGGCACCCAGTCCCCAGAGCGAAGCTGTTGCCAATGAATTGCAGGAGCTCTCCTTGCAGCCCGAGCTGACCCTGGGCCTTCACCCTGGCAGGAATCCCAATTTGCCTCCACTCAGTGAAAGGAAGAATGGTGAGTAGAGACAGAACTGTTTCTTGAATCAGGCTCTTTACAGTGTACCCCAGTTCTTGGATGCATAAATAAATAAATCTTTAAAAAACCAAACAAAACAAATTTCTGAATGTATTTTTAGAAGACTTTGCCAGATCCAGACTTTTTTTGCTCCTTTAGTTTCTCCTGTTGTCATTCCCCCATTTCCAATCTTCTCTCTTGCTTGTAGCTGTTTGGCAGATTGTTTACAAACCGTAAACTTTCCAAACTTTCTTTGTTTAAAAAAAGTCCAATTTGTTATGAAATACTTAAGATTTCCCAAAAAAGTATAAAAAGTAATACAGCGAATAACTGTGTACTCACCTGACTCTTGGACTCTCCATGAATCTCCAGCCAGCCCCAGAGGTAACTGCTACCCCAGGATCTCGTATTTCATTGCCAGCTATTGCTGTGTTGTTTTTTGTTTTTTTGATACAAATGTATTGTTAAGCAATATAGACTATTATTTCTCATTTTAAGCCCATATCTGTCTGTCTAGCTAGCTATCTATGAAAAAGCGATAGTGTATGTATTCTGCAACTTGTTTATAGTTTGGTATTTATTTTCTCGCTGAGTTATTAAAGATAGCTATGATTTCTTCTGCTTTACCATTTATTGAATAGTCTTAATTTTCCCTTATTGACCTTTATTTATTTATTTTTTAAAATATTTATTTATACAAACACTGAGTACAGTCAGAAGCGCGGGAGGGTGAGAGAATTCACCAGAGCCAGAGCGGGGAACAGAACAGACAGACTGACGAAGAAATACACTGCTGAGGGGAGCAGCGGGTGCGACAGGAGAGGTCTGTCATGCCATGTGGGACCGTCACTGGTGGCCAGGGATCGAACTGGAGCTGCAGAGGCTGTGGGCAGCTTCGCAGCCCAGCGCTTAACCGCTGCGCCACCAGGGGAGGCCCCCCTTATTGATCTTTAATGCCAGCTTTTTTCTTTTTCTCTCTGTAGGAGTTAGTTTTTAGACTTTGTTTTGTTTCACTGGTTTTTCATTTGTTTCATACTACGTCATTTTAGTTACTATTACTTAATGAGTAGGCTTGCTATCTGTTAGGATGGGTCCTCTTTTTGCCATTGTTTTGGCAGTTTTTCAGAATTTTTAGAGTCAGCTTGTGAAGTGTTGCCAAAAAAAAAAAAAAAAAGGATTTTTTTGCAAAAAAATTTAAAACAAATAATAAAATAGGAAGGTCTACAATGAATACCTTTATGTCTGCCTCTTCAATACTACTGTTAACATTTTATAATAATTGCTTTATAACGTATCTATCCATTCCTCTGTCCATCAATCCAACTTATTTTTGGGGGTGCATTTCAGAGTGAATAGTAGACACCAATATATTTTTTTGTTTTGTTTTGTTTTTTTTTTATTTTTTTTTTTTTTATAGAGGCATTTTTTATTTTTTGTTTGTTTGTTTGTTTTGTTTATACATGCACTGGGTACAGTCAGAAGCGCGGGAGGGTGAGAGAATTCACCAGAGCCAGAGCAGGGAGCAGAGCAGGCAGAAGGACCGAAGCACACTGCTGAGGGGAGCAGCGGGCGGCAGGAGAGGTCTGCGCGCCATGCGGGACCCTCCTCGGGAGGCCGGGGAGCAACCGGGGATTGAACCGGTGCCGCAGAGGCCGCGGGCAGCTTCGCAACCCAGCGCTCAACCGCTGCGCCACCGGGGAGGCCCAATATATTTTTGTTTTAATGAAGTATACCAATATAGAATAACACAAATTGTTAGTGTCCTTACTGTTATCAGAGTGAATACTCCTGAAGAAATAATACATTCTAGCACCCAGAACCATCCATTTGTGCTTCTTCCCAATCAGTGTTCCTTCTTCCCTGACCAGAGGAAATTGCTATGTTAACCTCTAGCACTGTAGGTCAGTTTTGCTTGTTCTAGACTTTATGTAAATGGAATTAGGCTATATATTTTCCTGGTGGCTTTTATGTTTCTGAAATTCACGTGTTGAATTGTGTATAGATGTAGCTTATTTTCAGTGCTTCATGTCCCTAAAAGGGTAGTTTTGTTAAAAGAGATGCCTGCATAGTCACAGGTGGCAGTCTTGGGAGGAGAGCTGCCTCTGCTGCTTTGCAAAGGGAGAAAGTTGGTGAAGAGAGACATCTGCATAAGCACAGGCATCAGGAGAGCTGCATCTTGTCAGTGCAGAGATTGTGCTGGTGTCTTCTTTGGAAGGGGTTCCTTCCTCCATGGGATTGTTAGCTGCTGTTAAATTAATTATCTCTTGGCTTGGCATCTAAGGATTTTTTCTATATTTGGTTTGACTAGGTCAGTTTGAAAGGACTGGTGATTTTTTTCACAGTGGCCTCAATCTCCATATCCCCACCTCTGGTCTGGTGTATTTTTAAAAAATATTTTCTGACTGTTTGATATTGGGCTATAGCAACAGCAAATCTTTTCAGAATCCTTGTCGCTTTCCTGCATGTTTGCCTTTATTTGGGATATCCTCTCTACCCCCACTCTTCTTGCTCTTAATTGACCTTCAGAATTCTGTTGAGGACTTCCTTTGAGAAGCCCATCTTTTTTTTTTAAAGATTTATTTATTTATGCATACAAGAGCTGGGGTACAAGCCAGAGACGTGGGGTGTGAGAAGATTCACCAGAGACAGAGTGGGGAACAGAACAGGCAGATTGACGGAAATACACTGCTGAGGGGAGCAGCAGGCAAGACAGGGGAGGTCTCCTGCTCCATGTGGGTAGCTCCTGGCCAGGGATCTAACTCGGTGCTGCAGAGGCTGCAGATTGCTTTGTAGTGCGGTGCTTAACCCCTTGTGCCACCAGGGAGGCCCTGAGAAGCCCGTCTTAACTCATATTTAGTGTTAGGTGTTTGCCCGATTGCCCTTTATTATCTTACTTCCTCACTCATGATCCTCAGCAACAAGTGAGCCTTTAAAATGAAATCAGGTGCCTCCCTGGTGGCGCAGCGGTTGAGCACTGGGTTGCGAAGCTGCCCGCAGCCTCTGTAGTGCCGGTTCGATCCCCGGCCAGCCGCCAGGCGAGGGTCCCACATGGCTCACAGACCTCTCCTGCCACCCACTGCTCCTCTCAGCAGTGTGCTTTGTCAGTCTGCCTGCTCTGCTCTCCCCTCTGGCTCTGGTGAATTCTCTCACCCTCCCGCGCTTCTGGCTGTACCCAGTGCTTGTATAAATAAAAAAATAAATCTTAAAAAAAAAAATGAAATCAGATACTGTTAACATTCCTCTCAGAACCCTTCAGCATCTTCTACAAGCCATTTGATGAAATCACAGTTCTCATGATGTGTTTTGGATCCTCTGTGACCTGACTTCTTACCTTTTCCCCCAGCTCCCTTTACTCTGCTTCAGCCACACTGACATTCTTGCTATTCCTTGAACATGTCAGATAAGCTTCTGTCCGAGGGCCTTGGTACTTGCTGTGTGTTCATTGAAATTCTTGCATCAATGTCATTTCCTCGGTGAGGTCTTCCCAGCTTTTTTTATCTGAAATAACTCCTCTCTTTACTCTGTCCTGCTTGGTTTTTCTCCAAACACTCACTCACTGTGATTTGTGTATGTATGTGTATAAATATTTGTGTATGTATATTTTGTCTGTATTTCCCCACCTTGATAGTGTATTTCACAAGGCTGGAAACTTAATTTTGTTGCTGGATGTATACCCAACTCTAGGCTTTTAGTGGGCACCCAAATAAATATTTGTTGAATGCACAGATGAATGGTTTACTGGTTACTCCCACCAGAGGCAAGAATTCTGACTTCTTTTATATTCGTGGTGGGAAATGTAGTAGAAACTCAAGCAGTTTTTCTTTGAGGAAATAGACACTGAAGCTGTGTTTGGTGTCCTTTTCTCATTCTTCTCCTCTCCCCTCCCCTCTTCTCCCCTCCCCTCCCCTCCCTTTACTTCTCCTCCCTTCCCCTCCCCTCCCCTCCCCCACCAGCACACCCCTAGCCTAGACTTCAGCTTATTTATATGCTAAGGGGAAAGAGTCCAGAGGGGAAAGCTGAAGACAAGAGAAAGAGTAACTGATAGAGTAAGGTTCCTGTGGAGACTGCAGATTTGTGAGGCTGGGATCCAAAGGTATTGGCTTTAGCAGGAGTGAGGACCAGCATTCCTCTGGGATGGGAGGAATGGTAGTGTGGGTGATGACAGACGGCAAACAACAAACCTCTCATATCATGGGCAGGAAGTGGAGAAAATTGGTGCTGACAGCTGTGATGGCCTCAGTAGAGAAGGCAGCTGTTGCTGTTGGTGCAGAGGTGGTTGGTGTATCTTCAGCCTTTCTCAGCTCTTTGGTACATAAGTCAACAACTTCTTCCCATTTTGACTACCACCTCTACTCTAACTTTCTCTTCAAGCTCCTGAAAGTAGTTTACAGTCTCTGCCACATTCCAGAGATTCATTGCATTCTGGCTTCTGTCCTTACCCTTCTCCAGAAACAACTATTGTCAGTCATTAGTGTTCTTTTGTTGTAGGTCAGATAGGCGCTTTTTATCCTGCTTAACCTCTTGCCCACATTTGACATGGTAGACCACTCCCTCCGACCTGCTTCTTTTCCTCCCCTGACATTGTCTGTGACATTACTGTTTCCTGCCTTTTCAAACTCTTTCTGTCCACACCCTTTTCTGCTCAAAGCCTTTGCTGTCTTTCTCTGCCTACCTATTAAACTTCTTTACTCTTCAGTGTTCAGCCCGAGGGCTTCTTTACTTCTTACTCTATCTTTACCTTGAGTGACTTTCCTTAGCACTTTGGCTTTGACCACCATCTGATATATTGGTTTCTGTTCAGTCCTCTCCCTTGAGCTCCATACTCATGCTTGACTATCCGTTAACACCTTCTTTGCATGTGCCGCAGACTCGCAGACTCGGTATGTTCAGAGTTAACTCATCTTACTTGCAGTTCCTCCTAAATACTCTGTTATAATAATCTGCTCCTCCCTCCACCCAAACTAGGAGGTTGTCTTGTTTTCTTCCTAAATGAAAACTTT